GCCTCCTAGACACCGGGGAAGAAAAGTAGTGGTGTTGATGTGCAGAGATGTGGGTCTAGGTGGTGTGGGCCTTAGGCCTTCTTTTTCACTTACTCTTATTATGTATGTTGTTGATGTCATCCTGGTTCTGAGGCTCAAACTTTGTGTGTGTGTGTGTGTGTGTGTGTGTGTGTGTATATGTATATATATATATATATATATATATATATATATATGTACACATATATATTTTTTTCTATTTGTAGATGATACTTGATCATTTTATTTGATGTTCATTAAAAGTACTATTGTATGATTGCACTGAGTAGGAATATGTAGCAGCATGCGTTAGGGATTTATAAGCATGGGAACCACACGTAACTATCAGTCACTCTTCCTTTGTCATAAACAAATATGTATGATTTATTTTGTTAAATAAAATTGATTTTATTTATTTTGCCCAATCTTCATGTTAATAAAAACTCAATTTTATAGGGAGTGGTTATAGTATTTCTAAAACATCTGTACATTAAAGCATTAGTGATAGATATCATAAAAATTATCATTTTCAAATAGCTTAATATTTTGGAAAAGCAAGCTATTTCTATATGTTAGCAAATCATTTGGCTTCACTCTATAAAAATAGAATAATTTTATTTAACATTTTATAACAATAAATAATTCATTTTTTAATGAGTTGATTTCTTTATTTAACATTTATTATTGGACACATATTTGCATAATTATTTCTGATACATTCATTTATGAGTAATGTATTACTATCTTTATGATATATTAAAACTTATTTACTATTATTTTGTATAGGAACTAAGCAAATGAAAGTTACTAATACGTGTTTGTTTGTCATCTATGTACTTTACTTTTTAGCATCTCCCAAATGTTTTAGTCTCTGCCTAATAGATACCACTAAAAAACATACATCAGCTCCCAGACAGTCTGGTTCATGTGGTAGTCTTTTCATAGTCTTACATGATCTTAACAATTGGATATTAGTCACTGCTTTACTTTATAACAACTCACGATGAGTTGAATATATCTGTTTCTATTGGACATTTTCGTGGATTTTCTTTTTTACAAATTTTACTCAGCACACATTGGATGTGAGCGATGTGTCTAGCCTGCTAGGGGATGCTTACAGTAGATTGGATGGGTTGAGAGCAGCGTGGAACAAATGTTGCTGTCCCCTGATTTAACTCCAGCCTTAATGAAGACTGTCTGTCCTAAAGGCTTTGAAAACCCCTAAATGCCTAGCATTCCACTGACATGGTGTGCATGGTGTGTGTGTGTGTGTGTGTGTGTGTGTGTGTGTGTGTGTGTGTGTGTATGTGTGCGCGCACGCACGCGCACACACTGAAAATGTGGACCTACATTAATAGGGTAGTTTTTAAAGCTGTATACAAAAGAGATTTTGAAGAATTTTTAGTAGATATTTCCTCCTTTATGTCTTTGAATCTCAAAACAAGTTATAATATATAAATTCGAAGTATTCCACTTTGAGTTATTCTTTGTCCTTAATGGCCTCCTGCTTATCCTCCCTCTTCCCTCAAGTGTGCATTTTGTATACTTGTTTATCAGTGCACAGTCTGGGTCAGGCAACTGTCATTCAGTTCTGTCAAAAGGAGGTTAAAGTCCTGGGCTGACTTTGTACTGGAAGGATTCCAAAACTTCTTAGAAACTCTCTCAGATCTATCAGATTTCATTTGGGTCCTATCTTTTTAAAAAGGTAATAGTTTCTGTTTTAAAAATATTTTTTGTGTTTATTAATGTGTTCATAACCTCCTTGAGTAAATTTTGCCATTAATTCTGTGAATTCCTGGTCGACCCTTAAGGATTGACTTGTGGGAATGTGAGGGGAGGCTGAACCTTGGCATGTGATGGCTCTGCAGTGTGTCCGCAGCACAAAAGCAGACGGTGTTGTTTCTTTTGGTGTTTTTTGTTTAAAATTCTGAAGCAGTATCAAGATATAAAGCTTAGAGCATTAAAATCAAACCAACTTCATATTTCAAATGTGCGTAAAGAAGTAATCAACCATTAGGAACCCATAGCCCTTTGTTTGATGGCACAGAAAACAAAATTGCCCTAGTTTGTAGAGCTTTAATATTATATTGAGGAAACTCATTTGTACATCTTTATTTTCTGAGCCTTCTGAATTTTATAGTCTCAAATCACAGTGCCATGGACACTCAAGAGACTCCTGGCTGTTTTATCTTATTAAACAATTTTGAAATCATTAATTTTTAATTAGCTTAGATGCAGGTTTTTTATTGTTTCAATAGTGGGTATATATGAACTAAACGTTTTTTATTTAAACTACTGTGAGAGTATTATTCACATAAATAAGTATGTTCTTTCTCAGAATGCATGCTGTGAGCTTGCTTTGTGTAGTGATACTCTCTTGTAGAATTGCAGATCGTATACATTAATCCTATGGCAGGGCTTTTCATCAGCTTATTAGCTCACAGTTTTGAACAACCAAAAAGGATGCACTCTTGAAGATACATGGAAGTCCTTCCCTGATTGAAAGTTCTAATTAAGTGAATTGGAGAAAATTAACTGAAATTAGCTGTCAGAAAGTCACATTTAAATGAGTGATGACCTAGTCTGGCAGTAAACATTTAAATGATATAAATTGCCATTTAAGTGTATGGTTTAATGTTTGTCATGCATTAATGTGACATGAGACTGCAGTGACAATCAAGCAGCTCACTCTAATTTGAACATATTTAGGGCTTTTGTGTGGAGTGCACTGCACACAAATTAAGACAATTGCTGTTTTTATGTGTCACTTTAAACATGCCCCTCCCATTCCTCCCAAGGCCAAAGTTAACACAACTTGTACTGCTAGTTTAAATTTTTAGACTCATTTTAAATTCATGTAATTAAAATAGGGATTTATCTGATTATTAAAACCCTCTTATTATATGAAGTATAATATGAAGTAGTTTTGTGCTTTCTTACCATCAAAACAGTGTTTTATATTAGGTATCTAAAACAGTAACTTTTACAGGGAGAGCTAGACAGATAATTTTAGGTCTTTTTCATTTCAGGTATACATTAGAATATGAGAATTGCCTAGTTAGTGCATAGGGATTTATTTAGAGAATAATATTTTATACTATTGCAAGCCCAGGTTGAATATTTTTAAAGAAAACACTGTATTTAGCTATAAACATCTTTCTTATTCATAGGCACTAGTTTTAATAAGACATTTTTATACATACGTACTTATGAACTAATGTGTCTGTCATTTGTGACAAGATGGCTTATACCTCAATGGATATTTGCATTAGAGTTTAATCCTTTGGGGGCTAAGAATTAAAGATGTCAGTGATGGAGCATGCACAGGGCCCTGGATTCAGTCTCCAGCACCAATGAGAAGAAAAGGTCTAGCCAACTCCACCTTAAAACTTACAGGCCTCTTATTAGGATACTAACTATACACTGCCAGAAAAGCACACACAATCGTATAGCTTTGATGCTAAAAGCAGTTAGGCCTCAGAGATAACTTCAACTAATTTTGGTCTGAATAGCATTATCTCTTGGAAAACCTAAACAGTTAATGTTGGAATAATTTTGTAGCATTATACAGTATAAAGAGGAATAGCTTGATAACAAGTCTCTGGCCTTGGTATTCCTAATTTACTCAGTTCAGCAAACATTTATTGGCACCAACTGTTCTGGCACACAGTACCAGTAAAGGGGGAGCAAATGATAAATAGGAAGTGAATCTTGTGCCCAGCACGTCAAGTGCACATTTGATCATATTCATTCATTATTTATTGAGCACTGTTAATGGCATAAAGTGTTTGGTTTGATACTGACACATAGAATAAAAATCCAGCAATTATAAGTTCCCACAAAATCTAATCTGATACTATAAACACAATCAAAATAACTAAATAATTTGGTTGCAGTTGCAGGATACAACATGCTTTAATTTGACAAAAAAGTTAATATCTTAAGTGAATAGAAAATACCTAACTTTTTTGCACTTGCTTTCCCAAAGTAGTCCTTCACTCTCTGACCTCCTTTCTTTGAAGCATGAATTGAGTGCCTGTCAAGACTGATTTATAAGTATGACCAAGATAAGCCCAGCCCCAGTCCCTATACCTGACCATGTAGTGGGAGAATGCCAAGATTACTACAGCTCAGCATAATGAGGGCCAGGACTTTTCTTAAATATGCAGCGAGACAGATTCAGCTAGAAAACAGGATGTCATGGGTTTGTTGTTTGGTTTTTACAGTACTAGGAATTGAATTCTTGGCCTCACAAGTACAAAGCACATATTCTACACTCAACTGCATTTGAGCCAGTGTTCTTCTGTTCTGTCCTGTCATTTTCTTCCCCTTCCTTTACCCTTCCTCTTCCCTTTCCACTTTCTTTCCCTCTTCCCCTTTTTCCCTTCCTCCTTATGGTCAGTGTCTGTGTGTGTGTGTGTGTGTGTGTGTGTGTGAGAGGGGGTGCACACACACACACACACATACACACACACATGCATGCACGCGCTATAGACTAATATCAGATGTCTACTGTTCACTCTTCACCTTAGCTTTTGAAACAGACTCTCTCACTGAATCTGGAGCTTGCAGATTCAGCAAGGCTGACTGGCCAGCCAGCTCTTGGAATGCTGCTATCTCTGCTACTAGTTCTGATATTACAGATATGTGTCACTGCATCTGGCTTTTAACATAGATACTAGGGATTGTGCTCAGGTAACTACTCAAATGACTGAGCCAAACTTCCTTGTATTGCTTTGGTTTTGTTCCTTTGGTTGGTCTTAGACCAGGTCTCATTGTATTACTCAGCCTGGCCTAGAACTTAAGATCCCCCTGCCTCAGCTTCCCAAGTAGGATTATAGATGCATGCCACCAAACCTGAGTTTTCTGTTTTTGTTTGTTTTTTTAAAAGTAAGTGTAATGTTAAGCCTTACTGTAGCTCTGAATATCTATGTTTTAAAAATAGGATTCAGCATAATGATATGGTCTCTACTGTTTTTCAGGCCCTGGAGAGTGAATTTGTTTCCTGCCAGCTTCACCAATGGATTGATCTTATTTTTGGCTATAAGCAACAAGGACCGGAGGCAGTGCGAGCCCTCAATGTGTTTTATTACCTAACCTATGAAGGAGCTGTCAGCCTGAACTCAATAACTGACCCTGTATTGAGAGAGGTAAGTCCCTCTACTCAGAAGAATCCCAGTATTAGGAGTCTGCCAGCTGCATAGTGCTGATCTCATTTCTCTATCCTCCAAGTAACTGATAGAGACAGTGAAGCAGGACAAGTTGTCACTCAGTCACCTAGTGCGCACTTGAGTCTGGAGCTTTTTCCAAGTTAGTATGACTTAATGTTAAATGAGAGTTTTTACAGTTCGACCTTTCAAAGATTCACACTCATATTTTTAATAGTTATGGATTTAGAAGCTATTCACCTAGTTTGAAATATTAAGAAAATAGTCATTTACTCACTATATGATTGTGAGCATAAGTCAAAATGCACTAAAACATATTTTTAATTCATTAGTGCCTGCACATTTATGCAGAAGTTAATAGTGGGGTTGAAGTCTGAAACTTTGCTGTCATTATTCAATATTAAATAGTGATGTGCTTTATTTTTGGCAAGTATTTTCTGATAAAACACTAAAAACAGGGTCTTGGGAAATGCAGTGTTCACCCAAACTTCTGGAGAAAATTTTGCTTTTTTAGTTTGGTGTGTGTGTGTGTGTGTGTGTGTGTTTCCAATCTAGTTCCAACCCCCTAAATGTATTAGCTTTGTGTGAAAAACAATACAGTTGCACAGATACAACCTCAAAAACGAAAAGGTTTTAAAACAGATGGATACTTAAGGCAAGACACTGATTCATAGGGCAGGTGTCTATTTTGAAGGGTTCATTACTTGTGATGTGTAAGGTATCCTGTTTTCACTAGGACTTGATGCATTCCTGTCTAATTCTGTTATCTAGTTATGTTGAACATCCATAAGTACATAGTGAAATAAATAAGCATATGATCACTTGACTTATATACTAGATAAATGTTATTACATAAACAAAAGCACTGTATATTGGGGGTTTTTTTTGCCCTACGTTGTACATAGTTAGTTTCTGGTTTTTGTATTTTAAAAACTGGAGCCAGGCATCTGGGTTAGTTAACTCCCAGTGCTTTCAATCTCCTACTTTAGTGAACTGGGCACTAGAGATTGAGCCCAGGATCTTCCTCGTGGTAAGCATATGCTCTGCATCTGTGTGTGAACGTTCCTCCAGAGCGCCTTATCTAGAGGAACTGCCAACTTTATGGTTCAGAGCATCATAGGACCCTACATGACACTGAGGTTAAAGCAGCAATGCAATTTCATTCTCAGAATAGCACAGCAAAAATCAGGGTAGTCAGTATGTTCTAAGGGCAAGGGTGCTTGACTCTAAGCCTGGAACCCACATGGTAGAAGCAGAAAACCAATTCTCACAAGCTTTTCTTTGACTTCTACATAATATGTATGTGCTTATACATGTGTAAATAAACAGACTCTCTTTTCTTTTTTTAAAAGATTCATTTATTTACATAGTTTATGTATATGTGTATGGATGCCCGTATAACAGAAGATGGTATCATCAGACCCCATGATAGATGGTTGTGAGCTACCATGTAGTTGCTGAGAATTGAACTCAGAAGAGTAGTTAGTTCTCTTAACCACTGAGCCATCTCTCTAGCCCTCCTTTCTTTTTTAATAATATTTGCCATGTACTCCTTGGCCCTGTTATGTGCCAGTGATTCTGCAGCATTCAGCCTGTTTTTCCTTTCTCATATTCCCTTGTAATAATTCCCTATATAATCAGTTTATATCTTAACTTATACTCTAGAATTCTAGAATTGATTTTTATATCCTTTGGTTTTACTTATCATATCATATTATTTACATTGCTGTGTATAACCTGTATAGTTTGAATTTTAAAATTCATGCAGTTACTATAAACATGTAAAGCGAGATGCTTATCTTTAAAATCATCTCTTGGTGTGTCTGAAATGTCACTAGCTTTGCCTGTCTTGTTATTAAATCTGATGCCTTAATTCATATCACAATGATGGCTCTTAAACCATGTCTGTCACAGCTAGCCACCTGGCCATTTTGTCTTCATCTTAATCAGTGTGATTAGGTTTCTGCTTTCATTTTAAATTGACACCCCCCACCCCTACCAATAATTTCCAAAGAAGCTTACTAATTTTATATTTGCTATATTTATTTTTTTTAATTTATAGTGTATTCTAGAAGAATACTAGCACAACTCCCCATAGTAATGGAAATACTTGTCTCATTACAATATCATGGCCTAGACCTCATGTCCCCTTGAAGTGTGGCTGGTATATCTGAGGAACTGAATGTTCACGTAGGAGCATGTGACTAGCTGGGCCATGTTGACAGCAGCATCAAGAAGAATGCCATGTGCATCTTTGGTAGTAACCATGGTTTTGGACTAATTTCAGGACAGAAGATTAGAGAGTGAGACAACTGACTTGTCATGTCAGATCTTTTAAGCTGGGCATATGACATCAGACATTAGATGTATATTTGCAGACCTTGGGAATATAATTGAAATACAAGTGTAGGCTACATTGCAGACTTATATTTTAATAAAACAAATACATTATAACTTTAGATGAAGTGTCTTATAGTAAATAATTGTATGTAAAATTTTACCATTGTTGCCACTTTTAAGTGTACACTTGAGTGGTGTTAAGATTCACATAGAGCTGGGGGTGCAGCTCAGGGCAGAGCATCTGTTACCATGTGTTGGACTCTGGTCTCAATCTCCAGTGCAGAAAAAAAAAGGAAAATCATATTATTGTACAAACTATTACTACTGTCCATGTACAGAAAACTTTCCCCAAACTAGAACTTCCTTTGCATTAAATAAACAATAACTATCCTCTCTTCAGGTCCTAACAAGCATGATTCTGCATTATCTTTATACAGATTTGATTGTGCTAGGGGCCTCATCTGAGCAAGAACATATAATATTTGTCCCTTAGTGTCTGGTTTATTCTACTTTACATAGTATCTTTACATTTCATCCATCTTGTAGCTTCTGTAAGATTTCCTTCCCTCCTAGGGCTGAATAACATCCCCTTGAATGTACACACCATGTTTGTTAGGCTACTGTGACAACTAAGAGCTTTGGTGCACTAGCTGCATGCTATTCTTGAAATAAGAATATATTCTTGAAATAAGAATATATCCTTTAATTACTGAGCACTATAAATATACACATTTAATTTAAAAAAACTTTCTCCTAGGTCTAAGGTAAAATTTTTACTGGCTTTATTGAAATATAATTTATATGTGATACAATTTATTTGTTGGCAGTATACAGCTTAGTATATTCTTAACATATAAGCATCACCACATTTTACTTTAAAAACAGTTTTTGTCACTACAAAAGAAATCTTCATACCCATTAGCCATCTCTCTAAAGAGACAGCTACCCATTTTTATATGGGTAGATGTTCAACCATGTTTTATTGGAAAGATCCAAAAGAAGGATAGCATATCTCTGAGAAAGGAGAAAGAAACAAACTCCAGAGCACAGACAGAGATAAGCACTGAAAGGAGGGAATGATACTGTCTTAGCTGGAGTTGGATAGTGTTAGCAGTGTGCAAGGACCTGTGTAGTCAGTGTGTATGTGCAAGGTAGGGTTGCTCCTAGATTCGTTTGATGTGTTCTTATATGTGGGATGGGACAAACTTTATAGGACTATCTGGTGTAGAGATGGATGTTTACTTCCTTCCCATGTGTTTTTCTGTATTCTAAATGGCAGAAGAATAAATTGAGAAAAAGGATAAGCAAAAAAGGTGTGTGTGTGTGCGCGCGCGAGTGTGTGTAACTGCATATGCACAGATATATAAAGATGGGAACTCAGATGTATTATTTATGGTGAACTATATGAAAAGGATTATAGGTGGAGCTGATAAGGGGTGTTGATGAGATGGTGAAATGTAGGTCTAGGCTAACTCGAGGAGATAAAGGCGAGAAAGGACTGGAGAACTGGGAAATTCTGTCATTCGTTCTTTTGGCAAATACTTATCCTGTTGATAATACTGAAGATAAACAGCTGAGTAAGGGAAAATCCAGTTGGACTCACAGAGTCGAATTCAACAACACATACTGTAATTTCAGTTGTGATGTGTGCTGTGAAGAGAATAGTGATGGCTGAGGAGAAATAGGGTGGTAGGGAAGGATTTTAGAGAAGACGCTTATACACTGCCTGTTCATAAACCTGTTTCCTGCAAAACAGACACCCAGGGTTTAGCTTCCATTCCCATGGCCAGACATACTTATGAGCCCAGGCTAACCTTCAGTCAAGTCTTGCTATGGATCCTGCCAGTTGTACAGCTTCTGTAATTTATAGACTCACAGGCCACACCCATCTTCAAAATTGTGTTTTAATGAGGGGCTTTCACTTTCCTAATGCTTTCCCCTTATGTGTTTCCCTAACGCAAACATGTGTTTACATATTCACTTGACTTGCCTTGAGGGTTCCAGGTCTCTGTGAATACAAAATCCATTTTTATACCAGATCACTACCTGCAGCAGCTGTACTTGTACTTCCCTTTGTTCACTGCTGTACACTGAGTTTAGTTTCAAGCCTTTTCCTGTGCACATGGTCACCCACAGGCATGGATCTGCCTGATGCTTGGTGAAGTTCTACTTGGCTTCCAAGAGTTCCAGAGTGAATGGTTAATATATATAACATAGTAAGTGATCATAAAAATAATTTCTCTATAAAAAGAGCTCTAAAAGATAGAAGTGATAACCATGGGAAAAAGAAGAGTAATCAGTGAAACAGCCTGTAGCACATTAAACTTTTACGTTGTTTTTAATTTTTAGAAAACATCTGTGTTATCAATATAGAAGCTTCCACTTACATACATCACACACCAGAAAGGAGTATTCTGCAGTCAGATATGCTAATCTGTTTTCAGTTATCTCCTGACCCCAGCTAAGGTGTGAGTTCTTATCCTGAGCTAACTAATTGCACAACCCCTGTTCCACAACCCTCTCTTGTCGCTAGTTGTTCTGTATCTCAGTTTTAACCTAGTTCATTTTCAGGCCTCTTATGTATATCTTCTTTCATAGACAAGAGGCAAATAAAGAAAGCACGTCATTTTATGATTATTAAT